ACAACAGGTAGGCGATAGGATGGCGGCCTGGTCGCAAAAATGAGAGCAGGCTGAAACATATTATAAGGATTGGCCGATAGGCGAGGGAGGCCCACGGCTTCACCGGGATAGTAATAATAATAATATTCTACTACATTCACACTACGCCATCTAGTCCCAAACTAAGCCGAGCTTGTACTATGGGTACTAGACGACTGATATAAATACATATATACTTTTTTTTTTATACATACATACATATTATACATAGAAACACCCAGACCAAATCAAACATTAAAAGTTCATGCACACAAATGTTTGACTTGAGTGGGAATCGAACCCGCGACCTTTGGAATAACAGTCCGTTACACAAACCACTACGCCATCCGGTCGTCAGTGTTTCACTAGGCGTGGCGTCAAATCTGGGGGGGGGGGGGGGGGGGGGCTGAAATAATATGGTCCGGGTCCTCCTCGTAGTGCGGCGCCTCAGTAGTACTCGCCTTCGGGATAGTTTTTAGTGGAAGCACCACTACTCCTAGCTTCTACATCCCCAAGGAGCCGGGGATCCGAAGGGATTTTCTACCCCGTCAACAATAAAAAAATGTGCACAGAGGTTGCGTCATAATATATTAAGTCATCGAATCAACAACCTTTGCTAGTCCACTGCTGGACATAGGCATCTCCATAGAAAGGAGGTTTGGGCCTACTATACCACGCTGGCCAGACTTATTGGTATAGGGTTTGTGTCAAGTTTTCCTTCTCTTTCCAGTGCGGTTGTCCTGCGTAATTTTCACCCTTAGTCGGCTCTCACGACACCCACGGGATGAATAGGGGTGGTGAACCTCTGTGTTCTCAATCCGTCACCACACGGACTCTTAATTCATTAGGTAATCAGTGAAAATATATACAGTTCGCTAAATACATAAACATATACACACATACGACAATACACACTAATCAACCTAATATCGAACTCGGTAAAAGAACAATGGCAGGTCCCCATACATAATTTTATTTGAACTGAAATGGTAGCGTTTAAATATCAAAAATGCCTAAAACGCTTGAGAATTTATTCTTGACCATTCTCATAACAAAATTACTAGCGAAAGAAGTCTAGGAAAAAAGATATTGTATTTTGAATGTTTCGAGGTTAAGTACTAACATATTGTCAATTTTTTGTTTGAAACTAGATGGCGTTGTGTCTCATATAATAGAAAATATTATTTTTATTATTATTAATCATTAACAATCTTATTTTGCTGTTGAAAGTGTTAGCCGACTCTCTAAAAGGGTGCAGGTTATTTTACCAAAACAATAGAAAAAATCTTCGCTCACCGAGGTGTAATACTAGCTATAAATAAATAAATAATAAATTAAAATAATAATTCGAATAATTGTACTTAAATACACATTTACACAAGCCAGAAGCTATTTATTTATTTATTGGACAGCTAGTAGTTTTTACATTATTTACTAAAATCTAAAGCATGCATCCGTTACATTGAGATTAATGCACAACATTTTAAGGCGTCACATCATGCATAACAGACTATATGTCGAGTGTCAAACGACAAGACTGGTGAGTGCGGCACTTGACAGGATCCAAACGGCGACGTATCGACATTTTGAAAATATCGATGTATCTCTATTTATGAGCCGTTTTTAACGACAATGATTTTTTCTCATCACACTGTGCAGTATATTGTTAGACTGCGAACATTGTTAAAATAACGTAACTATATTCTATTAATTTAGTCTAGCAAAAATCGTTTAAAAAGAGTCAAAAATATTCCAAATTATTTGTAATTATGTTGATTTAGTCACTCTACCGCGCGAGTGAACCCGTGTGCAGAAGCAAATTCATAATCATAAAAGGTGAACCTTCGGTAGATATTTCAGCCAAAGCTATAAAAGCGATTATCGATAAAACGTTTCATAATATAATAATGCCATCACGCATCCCTAGTCGGTTATATGTGATGGCGAATCTGACATTACGTACTTAGTCAAATAAAATCTTCAAAAATATCCGATCTTTTATTAGACTTATACAACACATGGTAGTGCAAAGATAAATCATAGAAAAAATATTTATTTAGTTTACGGTGTGTCAATTTTTTAAACGCTTGAGTTTTAGGTAAATATGTTTCTGCCATTGTTCTTTATGTACTACTAAGATGTTAAGACTAGAATTTTATATGGAACATATCCATATTGTAACACTGATCAGTTAAGGATGGATAGGGTGAAGTGAGCATTTAAAAAAAGTGAAATAAATGAATAAATAAATCTCAGTAATATCCTACACAAATGAATTAAATTACACAAATGTGTATTAACATTAATTAATAACTAAATTTACTGTTTCTAGGACATTTTAATAGAACTATATTGCTTTGTGGTGTGCTGATCGTTTATTCGGTAACGATTGTATTAATTATTAACTGGAGCGGTCTAGTAATCATTTGAATTTAAAACGTTTAACTGTCTGGTTTTGTGTAAATTATTTTAAAGATATTATAATACCTAATACATTTATATTTTAATCGGGGTGACCTTGATGATATTAAGGCATTTGTTCTCTCAAGATTCGAAACTTTTTGTATGTGAACACAGTTTAATTTTGGTCCTATAACTTTCTTTTTAATTTCTTTTATTTGAGGTTGCCTTGTTTGATCTTGATCTTTGACTTAATTTGATCAGAATGTAATTAACCGAATTAGCAGTATTATTTTAAAGGCACTTGAAATAATTATTTAATAAGATATATATTTTTTTTATCATCATTACCATTGACGGTTAAGATTATTAAAATTTCAGTTGAGAAATATTTAAAGCTGTGTAAATGAACGTGTTATTGAATAAAGAGGTCGTGTTAAATCGATTAAATTCTACTTTTTTGACTACAGTTATTTTTCGTAAAGCACAGGTGTGACCCACGATGAGTCACATTTACACAAATCCCTCTCACAATTTTCTCTCTCTTTTCTCTCTCTTACAATTACTTAATGCTCGAAAAATACACCTACATTCTTATTGCGTTTGAAAACACGTGTGTAATCTTCATGTGGTAAGACGTATAATGTCGTTATGATATTACAAAAAAAGTATTTTACATATTTTGGTAATTAAAGAGATATCATCTTACGCCTTTGAAATATTTTCTGTTATTGTTTCGTCTAGGTTTTGCCGCAACCCCTGAATGTTCTAGTTGGTGTGTTGGTTAGGTTGATATACGACTTCACGGTTAGATAAGACCTCCGTGGGAACGGCTTTCACCGCCTCATAGAAACAGGTAGATGTTTTTTGTGTCATACACATGTAAGAACAATTGGCTCATTCATTAGGGTTGACACAATTTTCTTCTTCCTTCCAAATAATTGTGGATTATTCATTTTTAACTGTTTTCGATAATCAAAACTATTTTGTGATGACAGGAAGGCAAGAAATAAAAATAATAATAGCTTCACATATCTCACACACGGCCGTCTGATAAATAAATCATCTACATGTGTCGCTGTTCTAAATATAAATATTTTAACCACGCAAAAATAATTTGTAATATACTCATAATAATACTGACACACACACAAGGACTGTGCCCCTTAAAGCTACAGCAATTTTAGTCCCAGTTTCTCCTTCAAGATCCTCAATATCCTTTTAATTAAACCAATTTGCCATTAGTATTTGTGTCAGACGGCCATAAGTCTATTTGTTACGAATTGCGTTGATTCGAATTTAAGTTCGGAAATAATAATAACTTTTAACATAAAGTAAACTCTTTCGAATTGTAGTATGAAGTTAAGTTAGCAACTACTGTCACTTGTTTTGAAAAATAAATTATCGACATTTCATGCATAAAGGTCCCTTAAAATATTTTACACCATAATATTGTTATTCCTCTTTTTTGAATATCCAATACAAGCCCAAACCATTTGTCAGATCTTGAACAAATTGGGTAAGTTATATTTGGAAGCTTTAATTTTATCTCTTTATTAATCGACTAGCAGACCCATCTCGCAAAAGTAATAAATTTTCCCCGTTTCTACAGCATTTTGCATTAATGCTCGGCTCCTATTGGTGATAGCGTAATATTATATAACTTATAGCCTTGCTTGATAAATGGACTATCCAACTCTAAAATAATTTTTCAATTCGAATAAGTAGTTACTGAGATTAGCGCGTTTAACCAAACAAACAAACAATCTTCAGATTTATGATAGTAAAGTATTGTATAGATTGTGACAACCCTATGTAAATCAATCTCTTATTGTAGTAAAGCTGTTATTAAAATTGTCACTTCTCCGCATTGTTAAGTATTTCCGAAAGATATCGATTTGATTTTCGCTTTTCACTCGATTGATTTCCATAATATACAACGCTAGACAGCCCTCTCCTGGGAATCTGTATCGATAACAAAACACTTTCGTTTTGATACACAGATAATGTTTGCTATATTGCAAATAAATTATCTGTTTATCTCCTTCTCCCGTGTACAAGTTCTATCTAGTTGTTTCTTTCAGTTTAGCATATTTAATATTTCAAGAGATAAAAATAAATGTTAATTAAAGAAATATACATTATGTGTGTACAATATAAAGTTTGTGAGGTAATTAAGTAAAAACTTACATAATGTATTTTTCCACAATAATAATTGTGTGATGAGCACTATCATCTGTTCTATGTCTAGGTATGTACCCATAATACTGATATGTGTAAAATACTTTACCTATGTTACCATAGTACAGGCTCTATTAAGTTTTGGATTATACAGTCGCGTATCACCATATAATATGTTAAAAAACAATGTTCCTATTGAGTGAACATTATCGAACCTAGGTAACATGTTAATTTTGATAGTCTACGACTTCCTACATCAATTTTTATAATTCTCAAAAAGTGTTTACGTTACACATTCACTAGACCTGTGCGTTCGGAATGCCTGTAGAAATGGACTTCATCATGATAAAAAAAACATAGACTAAGTTCTTAACCTACAATTATTAAAAAGGTTTACTCACCGATTCCAGTTCTTCATAGTCTACTCCATGTGGTTGCGTTTCATTCTGGTGCGCCCTCCACATTCTTAAACCTTCCTTCTTCACTAACCCCTCCTGCTTCTTTAGCACCAATTTCAACTGCCTCCCAAACGCCTCAAGATCTATTTTGTGCACATCCAACTCCTGACCGTCAACTAACCTCTCCGTATCACTGAATTCACTACCACTGTCACTGGTTTCACTGGAATTCGACACATCAAAGACTACACTCACTGTGTTATTTAAATCTCCTATAATATTAACATCTTTGATATGTTCTCTTGCTTTGACGAACATTTCGTCATTCAACAGAGATGGTGGACTATTTCCAGTCTTCCATCGATGGTCTTTAGATATCTTTTCATGTGGTATTTTGTTGGATTGGCCCGTGTGAGAGTTGGCGTTGTGGTTTGCGGTAATGTGCCGTCTAGCTAAGTGGTGGGTTAACTGCACCAGATGGTATTCCGGCACCATTGAGTGGTGTTCAACGTGGAATAGGTTTCGGAGTTCATCTGGCGTCATGTGTTCATGAATCTGTAACAAGCAAGAATATTTATTAAAACATGTGGAAATTAAAGAAGGGAAATGCGATAGAAGAACCTGTAATACTGATTAAAATAATCTGGAATGTGTATTTTTTCTGTTGAAACGATATCTGACAGACTTTCTCCCGGCTATGCCTATGTGTTCAACACAAGACTAGTTATAGACCATACCACTATGCTAACAAACTTTTAATAACACTAAAATTCATATTCCCCAACTTCCTTGCAAATGTTTACATCACTACGAGTATATCGCCGTATATCCAATATCAATCAATTACCTACACGAATATTGACTTCATGAAGTCAAAGGTGCGTCACTCGAGATCAAACTCTTACCGACAGCGTGAGAAGGTAATAATTAGAAGACTTGACTATCTTTTCTACTACTTGATCCCATTAAACTATATATCTTAACATGCTCTCTGAAGAGAATTAATGGTGAAAATATACATATACAGTAACTATAATATGAAAATACGATTTCAGACGACGGAGAAGCGACGAGAGACGATTTTAAACAATTCAAAATAACAACTCAAAATATCTTGATTTATACTAAAAAATAATATAAATAAAGATATTTTGAGTTTGAAACGCTATATAATTAGATGGAGGTGGGGAGCAATGACTCGGGTTATCCTTAAAATAAGCTAAAGAATTATTATGAAACATTTGCGTGAAGCGAAATGTAACTTATAATTTAAATAAATGATAAGTTCTCTCGGATAATAAATGTCTGCATTTCTCGATACTATAATTATGAAGACACCACATCCTAATTTCTTAATGTGAACAGGCTATCGAGCAACGCAATCAAGGATAATTGTATTGTTCAATTTGATAAATCCCTTAGAAGAAATTCGATTAAGTTTTGTGATTAAGATACCGGTGATTTTAAGCAAAACATTAAGTAAAAATAATCTTTATAATCATACTTGAAGGCAATTCTTTGTATCCTTTTAAACAAATGAATAAACAAATTTGGCGCACGGAAGCACATCCATAATATTCGAAATAGGTACTAAGTGTTTGTGCAGAAGATGTGAACAAACCTAGAACTTTTTGACAATTTGTGCTATAAGGTTAAAGATCACTTAAACACTAAAAGGGTCTAGCCTACATTTGGACCCTGTCATACTGTCATAGTAAAAAAGTCAATGACAGTTCAGTTCATGGTCATAAAAATGTTAATAACCACAAATAAGACATAAATCTAATATTCTAATAGTCATTAGTCGCGTTATTTTTTTTTATGAAAAAGAAAATCATTGTACATATTGAATAAAGAGTTTCAAATTCCGTCTCTATAAATACCAAAAAAAAATCGTGATAGTCTGAAGGAGCGGTATATAACAGCAATACGAGTATGTTTTTCTTTTAACTATAGTTATCTCTTGTGAATTTTTTTATCAAATTATTATCTGTACCTATACGAAAAAAATTGAAGGTAAGTGTACAACTATTATTATAATTATTTTGACACTAATTTTGTACAAAACATAATAATATAGCCCTCGGGTTACATATGCTATAATAAACTAACACAATATTATTTTATAATAGACCAATATTTAAACACATTATTACTTTTGTGCAACCCTGGCCCAAATTATTCTAAACCATTTATTTCAATTCAATCAATAGATATTTTTAAACATGTCTGGCCTATTGTCTTAGTGGTTAGTGATACTGACTGCTGAGTCGGAGGTTCGAGTCCCACCCAGGACAATAAAGTGTGTGATGAGCACGATCATTTGTTCTGTTTCTGGGTGTAATTTTTCTTTAATACGCATGTATTTAGTAATGTAAATGTATCTTTATGAGTAGTTTCGTTACCACAGTACAGGCTCTGTCTAGTTTAGGATCAGATGGACGTGTGTGAGATGTGTCAAATTATTATTGTTACTATTATTACCTTTTAGGAATGTGAGTCAAGCAGCCAGTTGTTGCCTATTGTGCCTTATGCATAGATACGTTAGAGAAAAACAGGCTAATAAATAACTTTATAGTTATAACACATAATATGTATCCATGTTGCTAACAAGTATTCACAGTTAGGTAATCGTATATCACACTTAACAGATAATTGCGTCACGAACACATGTATATACATTTACACACCTACATACATATAGACGTAAACATACACAAATAAACCAATATACTAACAATGATAGATTAGAACCTTATTTAAAATAAGCGAAATAAAAGCCTTATACTAACCTAACAGTTTGAATCTCATCAGACACATTATTGAAGAGTGGCTGTTGTGTTGGTTTTGTGGTTAGTGATGAAGACTTCTGAGCAAGATGATTGATTCAATCTCATCTTCAATCTGAGATGTTTCAATCTACTATTATTATTTTTAACATGATTTTGGTAAAAGCTATGTTATATATCTTTAGATACTCCTGACAACGTGCTTGCATTTTTTTATAATTTTGAGTTAAGTAGTGAAAATAAATAAATAAACTGACATTAGCTTTTGTTAGGCATATTTAAAAATATGAGTCAATAAAGCTTTTAAATCAGGAGATATGTCGAGAAAGGACCGACAACGTGAGTACTATTGACCTCTGCCAAGGTTTTCGAGGTGGCACGTTGACATTCAAACGAAATGCTGCCAATACGGATATGGTGCGAGAGCTGTTATTGTGTGTGTATATGTGTCGTTTATTGTATTGATTTTTCGCACGTGACATTAAGGTTGTGTTATTACGATATTATCTGTGAAATATAACTTAAAAGTATAGTTATGTTCTTTGTTATAAAATGTTATTATTTACCTATTCTGTAATGTCATTGTAACAGAGTAGGCGAATCATTATAAGGTCCGCGTCATGATTGGCAGGGTACTGATAAATTAAATTATTTTGCCAATACATCTTTTCAGACGCTTTTATTGATTTCTTCTTGTGTCTTTTCAGAGACCACTACCTTGAGAATTCTTTAATACTTTTTAAAAATTGCAAATGCGATTCCTTTTAAGGCTAGCTTTTACTATCAATTGCACAAGCATAGAATATTTAAATTTAAGATTATTTTCATGTTTTTTTTTCCTTTTTTCTTTGATGACAATTAGTGGATCACACAAAGTGTCATCCCATGCGGGGATCGAACGCACAACACTCAGGGTGGCGACCACTTTAACCACTATGCCATTCGTGCAGTCAATATTGGCCCTGTTTACACGAGAGTTGAGTTTGGGTTGAAATACATTGATAATACAACTATATATAATATAAACATATATAGTGTATGTAAGTACAACATAGATATATATTCATGTCAGAACTTTTCGATTCGAAAAAAACATAAAATTTTCCTGTTTTAATCAAAAGAAAAAAAAAATACTCCTGTCGGTACCACTGTTGCTACTGTTTTTTTTTATGGAAGAAGGGGCAGACGAGCAGACAGGTCACCTGATGGAAAGTGCCGCTTCCCATGAATGCCTGCAACTCAGGAGTCACAAACGCGTTGTCGGCCTTTTAGGAAGGAGTACGCTCTTTTCTTGAAGGCCGTATCGGTCCGGAAATACCGCAGACGGTAACTTAATAATAGAATTTCCACCCTTTTTCAAGTTCACAGGGGCTCTTTTTTTGACGAGGGGGAATATGAGGAGGCATTGCAAGAGGAGAGTCATCAAAATTTTTTAGTAGTGGAATCCGAAGATCTCTACGAAGGCGACATCTCCTAAAGCATGTGCAATTATTGTCTCAACCAGTCGACCTCGTCTTACTGCTCCAATTATTACATAAAAATCCGGATTAGATATTCAATAAGTTATTTCATATACCCGTTATCAATGACGTAAGAAAATATACAGTTAATTTATTATATAATGTGTTCTATTAGAGGTGACATTCAATTGGATTGAGAAATGACTTTGAAAGTCAGTGTTTCCATTTATAGAATATTCTAAAGGGATATTGCGATAATTTTAAAATACGAATATATAGTTACGTTTAGAAATAGTGTGACAATAAAACTATCACAATTTTGTTTCTATAAATGCAGGATAAAAGCAAAAAGGATTGTATAATATATAGCCTAGTTTTTTACCAATGGCAAGTTGGAACATATTTTTTTGAATGAAGACAGACAACAAACTCCACAAAGGGTTGTGTGCAATAAAGTAATATTTATCTTGTATTTATAATCGTTGTTTCACTTTTTACCTCAGAATGTTAACTAGTAATTACGTGTTACAAGAAAAACAGTGAGCTTGTTCAAGGACTTACCGCTCTATTTAATTTTTAATAAATTTACTTAAATAAAAAAAACACAAATATTACAACGTGTATTGCTCGATGAATCGAATAAAAAAAGTTTGCAAACCGAATGAAGACGCATGAAAAGAGGTCCGTTATTTACTTTCTTTTCAGCTCATTTATTAGATCAATTCCATAAAACCTAATATTGCTATCCAAACTCCGTATACTTCCAATTTTTTTCGATAGAAATCAGACGCGGTTTTAAAATAACTTCCAAGGTTTGTTTATGTACTTAGCTTAGTAATTGGTTACTCACAAGGGAAGCAATAAAAAGGTGTTCAAAATTATCTGTTTTTATAATATTAGGATCTAACCTATTATGTAACTAAACTGTCTTGAAGCAAATAGTTCTTTACCGTGAATAGAACTATGACAGAATAAAGAACGCAACTAAAATTTAACATGAGTACAAAACCCGTTTTATGCAATTATAATCTGGATTTTTTGTTGCCAAAAAAGCAGTTTGTGTAAACAAGGAAATGAAATGAACGATTACGTAATTAAACGACACATTCGAAAAAGAGTAATTGTGCCAACAGTTGTTTAATATGAGAACTTCCACAATAATATCTTATTCGCAACCGAACACTGTCCATTGTTACAAACGCAACGCAAATTTGTTACATATTTAATTATAGCAAAATTGCAATACGAAAACTTAAACCATTTTTCTTTAAAACACTTCTGTAGACATTCACTTCCAGAATACGAT